TGTTGGTTTTGGTTTGGTTTTGTTCTGTCAGCACCTGGAAAACAGTTTGCACAGCATGATAGATGTTGACCTCACAGTCAGCCAGGCTGAGGGTAGAGCCCACCTACTAATGGGACAACAATAATCAAGACCCAATTACAACAGGAGGGCCCACCTAGCCGACACAAGAGACATTCCTAGAGCACCCAGCTCAGGAGATGAAGAAGATTACTGGATCCAACAGGACATCCACAATAGTAGGTCATCGCACCAAGACTGAGAATCATAGCAATTCTGCCTAACACACAGAAACAAACACAGAGAGACAGCCAATACTGGGAGACAAAAAAACTAGCCCAAATTGAAAGAATCAGAGAAATCTCCAGAATAGACCTAAATGAAATGGAGGGAAAGAAATTTATCAGAAACAAAGTTCAAAGTAATGGTTATAAGGGATCTCAACAGCATAAAATGGACATAGAAGCCTAGAAAGAGAACCAGTTGGAAATGAAGATGAACATATCTGAAATTAAAAATACACTGGAAGGAATAAACAGTAGACTCAATGAAGCAGAGTATCAAATCAGCAAATTAGAAAACAAGGTGGAAAAAAATCACTTAGAACAGCAAAAAGAAAAATAATTTAAAAACATGAGGACAGTTTAAGAAAATTTTAAGACAACATGAAACATAACAACATCTGCATAATACGTTACCAGAAGAAGAAGAAAGTGAGCAAGGGATAGAAAACCTGTTTGAAGAAATAATGACAGAAAAATTGGTTAAGGAAAATTCACACAAGTTCAGGAAGCACAGAGTTCCAATCAAGATGAACCCAAAGAGACCCACAATAAGACACATCATAATTAAAATGGCAAATGTTAAAGACAAAGAGAAAATATTAAAGGCAGCAAGAGAGAGACCTACAAGGGAGTTCCCCAAAGGCTGTCAGCTGATTTCTCAACACAAATACTAGAGGGATTAGCATGAAGGTTTCAAAGTAATGAAAAGCAAAGATTTCCCAGGCAAAAAAAAAAAAAAAAAAGAGGGGGGGATTGGGGGAAGATGCTAAAGGAGTTCATTTCCAGCTTTGCAAGAAATGTTCAAGGGACTATTGTAATAACAAGAAATAGAGAGAACAATGTAGAGATAAAGAAAAAGTGGCAATAAATAAGTACCTATGGATAATAAACTTAAATGTAAATGTATTAAATGCTCCAATCAGAAGACATAAGTTAGTTTAATGGATAAGAAAACATGACCCATATATAGGATGTGTACAAGAAACCCGCCTCAGACGAAAAGATTGAAACAGACAGAAAGTGAAGAAATGGGGGGAAAAAATATTCCATGCAAATGGAAATGAAAAGAAAGCTAGGGCACCAATACTCATATCTGACAAAATAGACTTCAACACAGAGGCTATAACAAGGGAGAAGGAAGGATACTACATAATATTAAAAGGATTATTCCCACAAGAGAATATGATCCTGGTAAATATATAGGCACCCAAAATAAAAGGACCTAAATATATTTTTAAAAACTCTTGGAAGACTTGAAGGGAGAGATTGATGGCAAGACAGTCATAACATAGCATGGGACTTTCACACCCCACTGGCATCACTGGATAGACCTTCTAGACAAAAAAATCATCAAGGAAACAGTGGCCTTCAACACCACACTAGATCAGATGGATTTCATTGATATTTACAGAACATTTAGTCCCAAAGCAGCAGAATACACATTCTTCTCAAGTGCCCATGGATCATTCTCAAAGATAGCTCTCAAAGATGTTAGGTCATAAAATAAGTCTTTATAAATTCAAGAAAATTGGAATCATATCAAGCATCTTCCTAGATCACGTGGCATGAAACTAGAAATCAACTACAATATTTAAAAACTCAAAAACATTCAAACACAGGGAGACTACACAGTTTGTTATTAAAACATGAATAGACTACCAATGCGATCAAGGAAGAAATCAAAAAGTCCTTGAAACTAATGAAAATGAACACCCAACAACCCAAAATCTATGCAACACAACTAAAGCAGTGCTGAGAGGTAAGTTCATGCCATTACAGACCTAACCAAAAAAAAGAAAAAGGCCTCTAATAAACTATCTAAGACTACAGCTAAAAGAATTAAAAAGGGAACAACAACAAAAGCCCAGAGTGAGTAAAAGGAAGGAAATAATAATGATCAGAGTAGAAATAAATGGCACAGAGACTAAAAGTGCAGAAGATCAATGAAACCTAGAGGTGGTTGTTTGCAAAGATAAATAAGATTCTGAACCTTTAGCATGACTTATTAAGACACAAAGAAAAAGGATCCAAATAAATAAAATCAGAAATGAAAGAGGTGAAGTAACAAATGACATCACAGAAATGCAAAGAAAAATACTTTGAAGATTTATATGACAACAAACTGGGCAAAATGGACAAATTCCTAGAAATATATAATCTGCCAAGACTCAGTCAGGAAGAATCAGAAAATTTGAATAGGCCAATAACAGTGGGTGAAATTGAAGCAGTAATCAGAATACTCCCAGTAAACAAAAGCCCTGGACTGAACGGCTTCACAGGTGAGTTTTACCAAACATTCAAAGAACAATTAACACCAACCCTCCTCAAACAATTCCAAAAACTTCAAGTGGAGGAAACACTTCCAAGCTCTTTTTATGAAGCCAGCATTAACCTAAATCCAAAATCATAAAGACACTAAAAAAAAAGAAATGTATAGGCCAATATCCCCGATGAACATAGATGCTAAAATCCTCAAAAAATATTAGCAAATAGGATCCAGCAATACATGCAAAAGATCATACATAATGATCAAGTGGGATTTATTCTGATGAAACAAGGATTGCTCAATATTTACAAATCAATAAACATGATACACCACATAAACAAACTGAAGGATAAAAATCACCTGATAATATCAATAGATGCATAAATAGCATTTGGGAAAATCCAACATTAACATATGATAAAAACTCTCTGCAAAGTGGAAATAGAGGGATCATACCTCAATGTAATTAAGGCCATATCTGACAAACTTACAGCCAACTTCATACTTAAGGCCAAAAAGAGGACATACAGATGGCCAATAGACACATGAAAAAATGCTCAAAGTCACTAATCATCAGAGATGCAAATTAAAACTACAGTGGGGCCTTGACTTAGGAGTTTAATTCGTTCTGAGACCGAGCTCATTAAGGCGCTCGTTAACTCAAATTACTCTGTCAACTCAAAGCAAAAAATCAGCTGAGAGACGGCTGGTATCTCAAAAAACTCGTTAGTCGGGACACTCATAAGTCAAGGCCGCACTGTACAATGAAGTTTCACCTCACACCTGCCAGAAAAGTTATCATCAATATGTTAACAAACAACAAGTGCTGGAGAGAATGTGAAGAAAAGGGAACCCTAGTGCACTGCTGGTGGGAATGCAGACTGGTACAGCCAATGTGAAAAACAGTATGGAGGTTCTTCAAAAAATTAAAACTGGAACTGCCTTTTGCCCCAGTGATCTCATTTCTGGGAATATATCCTAGGAATCTCAAAACACCAATCAGAAAGAATATATGTATCACTATGTTTATAGCAGCATTATTTACAATAGCTAAGATTTAGAAACAGCCCAAGTGCCCATCAGCAGATGAGTAGATAATAAGCTCTGGTACAGCCCTAGTTGTTTTGGCTCAGTGGGTAGAGTGTCAGCCTGCAGACTGAAGGGTCCCGGGTTCGATTCTGGTCAAGGGCACATGCCCAGATTGTGGACTCAATCCCCAGTCAGGAGCTTGCAAGAGGCAGCCAATCAATGATTCTCTCTCATCATTGATGTTTCTATCTCTCTCTCCCTTTCCCTTCCCCTCTGAAATCAATATATTTTTTTAAAAGCTGTGGTACATTTACACAATGGCATACTATGCAGCTGTAAAATAGAAGAATCTCTTACCCTTTGAGACAATATGTCAGACTGGAGACTATTATGCTAAGTTAAATCAGCCAATAGAAAAAGGCAAGTATCACATGATTTCACTTATAAGTGGAATCTAAAGAACAAAATAAACTGATGAACAAAATAGTGCATGACAGGGGGCGGCGCCCCAACTCCCCAATCGGCCCTGCTCTGAGCCTGAGCAGGGGCTGCACCTAGGGATTGGGCCTGCCCTCTGCCACCCAGGAGCAGGCCTAAGCTAGCAAGTCGTTATCTCCTGAGGGGTCCCAGACTGTGAGAGGCCACAAGTAGGGCTGAGGAAGACCCCTCCCACCCCTCCCTAGTGCACAAATTTTTCTGCACCGGACCTCTAATATATATATATATATATATATATATATATATATATATATATATATAATATTCACTGGTGAGGATTAACAAAACAAACAAACAAACAAACAAAAAGCCTTCCTGTGTCTTAAATACATATGGTATATGGAGGTCTATTTATTATAACTCTCTATTAATGTGCATACAATATTGTAAATTTGTATTTGATATTTTATAATAAAATGCACCACAGTGGATAAAACAGTCACAGACACTCAGCAGCCAGGCTCCTTGCTCAGAGTTTGTGCTCAGCTCCCCCTGCAGTGTCTGTCACTGTGTCACTCTGTGCACAGTAGTACATTGCAGAATCTGACTGGTGGACTGAGGCTTTCTCCAAGTGGAAGGCATTTGGTTGTTTTTGGTATGTGGCTACAAATCCTTTGCTGCTTCCCTTCTCGTTGACCCTTGTGGCTTTCAGGAGGAGCTGTGGACCTTCTCCGGGATACTGAACATACCAGAAAAGAGCAGGATACCCTGTGCTTTCATAGGAACAATTCACAGTCAGAGGAGCCCCTTCTGAGAGAGTCACTTGGCCTTTTGTCTGGGTCACCGAGTCTCCATGGATTCGTCCTGAGGAAAAATAAAAGAGAACTCTGTCACCTTGGGCATGGAGCTCTTCAATAAAATTAAAGTTAAAGTATTTCCTGACATAATAGAAGAAATATTCCATATTTAAGAGGTGTGTTACTTACCAAGCACTAAGAGCACCACAGCCACTAAGCCCAGAGAAGAGTTCATCTCTACAGCATCATCTAAATAATGTTCTTGACTCTTAACATGAAGAAATGCTGAAGTCACAGTGAAATGATAAATATACTAGTGAGCCTGTATTTCACACAGGAAATGTGTTTGTGTTGGGAAGCTGCACCCCCTGGCGGACAGAGATTGCAATGTTTCTTAGGTTACCACCCAAATACCAAGGTTCTCATCTGTGACACTGAGGCACATGTCAGTTCTCAGCTGCGTGTAGAAATCTAAACAATGACTATCCGAAGCTCTCAGGTCTTTTTTGTTGTTGTTCTTAAGACAATACCTGACATGCAAGTACTTTAACAGCGCACGCAGGGTATTCCTGCAGTTGGAAGATAGCATTTTTTTTTTTGAGCATGTTAATACAGTGCTATATATTCTCAAGTACCTGTTGTGGGCCTGCCTAGAATCCACTGAATCAGAAAGGATTTGGGGTTGAAATCAGAGGAAGTAATACAAAGTCTTTATTGAGTGAGTCTTCACTTTTCAGTATTGTACCCCAGTATAGAACAATGACTGACATTTATTAAGTGCCTACTAAATATTTGCTAAATTGAACTGAAATAAGCAGTCTTTCATTGAAAATTCACTACTACATCACATACAATATTTCCTCAGTCTTAAAATATAAACAATTGTAAGATATATTTTCTTTATAATAAAAAATTTCAGGAGAAAAAAATCAAATGAATTTCAGAATCATTTTTGAAGTATGAATCCTAGACAGAAGAAACATCATAATTGAAGTTAGATCATCAATAAAGAGTGATCTGAGATCAATATCTTAATCTCCTACTGTTTTGTTCATTCCAAAATAAGATAACTAAGCAATGTGAGTCAGGCCAGAAGTACAAGCCCTATAGTCTTACTGCAGATCTAGCATAAAAAAGGATTTCTACTTTGGAAATTAACCCCTTATCAGGTGTAACCTTGGTGAATATGCTTTCCCCTACACTGGGTTCCCTTTGCATTTTGAGGGTGGTTTCTTTTGCTGTGCAGAAGCTTTTTAACTTGATGTAGCCCCATTTATTTATTTTTCCCTTTGTTTCTCTTACCCTAGGAGATGCATCGACAAAATTTCTGCTATGTGAGATGTCTGCAGTTTTACTCCCTCTGTTTTCTTCTAGGATTGTTATGGTTCTGTGTCTTACATTTAAGTCTTTTATCCATTTTGAGTTTATTCTTGTGTATAATTTAAGTTGGTGATCTATTTTTGTTTTGTTTTTTGGGGCTTTTTTGCATGTACCTGTCCAGTTTTCCCAAAACCATTTATTGAGGAGACTGTCTTTATTGTGTTCTCTTGCCTCCTTTGTGAAATATTAATTGATCATATTGGTGTGGGTCTATTTCTGGGGTCCCTGTTCTGTTCCATTGGTTTATATGCCTGTTCTAGTGCCAGTACCAGGCTGTTTTGATTACAAAAGCTTTGTATTATAATTTGATATCCAGAATTGTGATCCCTCCAATTTTGAAATCATACAACATAACAAAAGACAAACAATCCAATTAAAAAATGTGCAACAGACCTGAATACATACTTCTTCAAAGAAGACATACAGACGACCAATAGACATATGAAAAAAAAAATGCTCAAAGTCACTAGTCAGCAGAGAGATGTAAATTAAAACTACTATGAGGTATTACCTCACACCTGCCAGAATGGCTACCATCAATAAATCAACAAACAACAAGTGCTGATGAGGATGGAGTAAAAAGGGAACCCTAGTGCACTGCTGGTGGGAATGCAGACTGGTCCAGCCACTGTGGAAAACAGTATGGAGTTTCCTCAAAAAATTAAAAATGGAACTGCCATTTGACCAGGGATCCCACTTCTGGGAATATAATCTAAGAAACCAGAAACATCAATCAGAAAGAATATATGCACCCCTTTGTTCATAGCAGCATAATTTACAATAGCTAAAATCTAGAAACAGCCCAAGTGCCCATCAGTGGATCAGTGGATAAAAAGTTGTGATACATTTGCACCATGGAATACTATGGGGCTATAAAAAAAGGATTTTTGACCCTTTGTGACAGCATGGATGGACCTGGAGAATATTATGCTGAATGAAATAAGCCAGTCAGAGAAAGACTAATATCACATGATCTCATTTATTTGTGGAGTCTAATGAGCATAACAAACTGACTAACAAAACAAGCCGGAAGCTTGGATTCATGGAACAGGCTGACGTATCTCTGAGAGGTTTTGAGGGGCAGATGGATGGAAGAGGTTAACCAAAGAACTTTTGTACATCTATGCATAACGAACAGACACAGACAATAGTGTGGGGAAAGCCTCGGGTGAGGGAGGGGCTTAGAGGAGGGGGACTAAGGAGGGTGGGGATTGGAGGACATCTGTAATACTCTCAACAATAAAAAATAAAATAAATTTTTAAAAATGCTTTCTATTACCAACTATCTGCCACATTTTGTGGACATAACTTTAATCAAATAATGTCCCCCTACAGGTAGACCAGGAGCTGAGGATTTGTATCAATAGCCTGGAACATAAGTTAGAACTCTCTTCTTCATCAGCTATCAAATTGTGGGAGATATACCAGCTGATATTCATCCAACAGCTGATAATACAATCAATGTGTGAGTGATTTTAAATGGCAGATTCTGGGATCTCCACAATAACTTCATGAAACATTTCCAGGACTGAAACCCACTAATATGAACATTTTAAAGCTCCCGTGGGTGGTTTTGCTACAGCCAGTCTGATACCTATTCATAAGATTTCATTTGTGGTAACTGTCCTAGACCAAAGTGGTTCTCAAAGACAGAGAAAGCTCTGGGATCAGCATGGGGTAATGTACCTATGACTACACGAGTTTTTTAAAACTAGTCATTTTTGCCCGGCCAGTGTGGCTCAGTTGGTTGAGCCTTGCCCCATGCACCAGGAGGTTCAATCCCCAGTCAGGACACATGCCCAAGTTTTGGGCTCCATCCCCAGTAGGAGGCATGCAGTAGGCAGTAAATCAATATTTTTCCTTCATAGATGTTTGTACTTCTCCTTCTCTCTTCCTCTCTCTGAAATCAATAAAAACATATTTTAAACAAATAAATAAACTAGTCATTTTTATTTTGATAGCAGCAAAAGCAAGCGCTGTTTTAGTTCTCTATTTATGACCATTCGTTTTATAAAACAAAACAAAAAACCTCTGAGGGTTATTAGGATAAAGTTCTAGAGAAAACCACATCTTTCTGCAAGGCCATGCAAACTTTTATCTGTAGACATGTAGATGGAAGCTTAGTTCAAGCTGTTTCCTGGAATTCTCTCCACACAGATTCAGATCAAGAGACTTCATGAGTCGTCTGAGTGAACATGTGACCAGTCTCCCAGATGTGGACTTAAGCAATTCAGGCCCAACCCTGCCTGGTAATCAGTTGGTTAGAGCACCCTCCTAATGAAATATGGTTGCAGATCCCATCCTTGTCAAGGCACATACAGGGATTATCCAATGAATGCATAAATTAGTGGAAGAACAAATTGATATCTCTCTCTCTCTCTCTCTCTCTCTCTCTCTCTCTCTCTCTCTCTCTCTCTCTCTCTCACACACACACACACACACACCAATCACTAAACAATAAATCAATTTTTAAAAAGAAATTCCGACCCAGATACACAAATTATTTTCCACCTTCTAAGATATAATGTCAGAACCTGCCACAAAATTATGCTTGACAGGAATTTGAAAAAGCAGCCACAAACTTCTATTCTGATATACAAGGAGAAAAACAAAATAAGTTGAGAAGATGTTGGGTTGAAAGTAAAGTGCACAGCACATGGGTATAGAAAGTTGTTATGTATACTTTTAAAAAAAACATATTTTAAAGCAAATGAGAACCTATAGGAGATTTATTTTGCATTTTGTATCACACAAGAAAACAAACAACATTAAGGGGAGATAGTTGTTACATTTTTATTTTAATGGCTTTTTAAATGCATGATTTTCATAAAAACAAATTGCACCTATTTAATGTAAACAATTTTATAAGATTTTTCATTTCTAGATACTTGTGGACCCATCACCACAATCAAGATAATGAACATACACATCTCCCCCAAAGTTTCCCCATGTCTCTTTGTAATCCTTCCTGCAACCTTGCTCCCACTACCTATTCCTGTTTTCAGGCCGCAGCTCTGTCACATTTTAGTTTGCATATTTTATAATTTTGTATAAATGGAATTATTTGTACTCTTTTGCCTGGCTTCTTTCTCTCAGCATAATTATTTTGAAATTCTTCCATGGTCTCATGAGTAGCAATGTTTTATTCCATTTTGTTGCTGAGTAATAGGTATTCCATCATCTACACTAATAATAGCCTAGGGCCATCACGACCAGGACAGATGATTGAACATTGGGCTCTTGGCCAAAGAGGCACGCAGGTGGGAAGGGTCTGTGGGCTCTGGGCATCTGGGACATGGCAGTGGTGAGAATGGCCTGTGAGCCCGGGGCCTTCGAGGTGCATTGGTGGTGAGAAGTGTCTTTAACCCTGGGCCACCGAGGCACAGAGGTAAGAAGGCTCTATGGGCCCCTGGCCACGAAGGTGCTTCAGAATTCTGGGTCTTGTGCTTTCGGGGGAGTGGCCTGCCTTCAAACTGGACCATGACAAGAGGGAGAAGGGAGCCTCATTCCTCACAGAATCCACTCTTAGGAGGAGGGAGTCTGCATGCCTGATCGCCCCTAACCACTCCGCCTGCCTACCTGCCCAAGGGTTCCCAGATTGCGAGAGGGTGTAGGCCAGGCTGAGGGTGCACCCCCCCCTCCTGGTGCACAAATTTCATGCACTGGGCCTCTAGTATAAAGATAAAACAATTTGTTTGTTTATTCACCTATTGATTTACATTTTCATTAGCCACTATTTGGGGTTGTTACAAATAAATCTACTATGAACATTTGTGTATACGATTATTTTTAAACATATGCTTTCATTTCACTGTGGTCAATACCTGAGTGTAGAATGACTAGATCATATGATAGGTGTACATTTGACTTTGTTTAACTTGTT